CACCTGTACCTCATCCACCCTCCAATATCTCTGCCTCATATCGCTCTACACCTACTTCGTCTGCACACCTTTCCTTCCTTCCCTGTTGTCCCTTCCGCTCCCTCAAAATACATGACTCCCTATTGTCACAACATCCTCCCGGCTTCTGACATTTCTCCTGAAACTGCATTGATCTCACCCCCCTTAACCCCAGTTTCGCTAATCTCAATAAACCCACCTTTTTCTTTGACAGCTTTTCCTTCCTCAGATATTCTCAAACCTCGGCCTAATTGAATCAGCTCGCCCCCCCCCTCTCCCTTTTTCGCCACACCTTCCCATAGTGTTATGACTTTTGATGTAGAGCACATTTTGATAGCCTTGGAACCACTAACTACCACACCCATCAAAATCAACACGTTTGAAGGAAAAAGAACTTGGAATCCCAGTAGAAGGGGAAGAAAAAACAGGACCCCAGTTAACGGTGAGGCGGGTGAGAAAAGTAAGCGGCCTATCTTACCCAGGGCTACTAATGCCGGTGTCCAGACATTCTAGGAACCAACGTCGCTCTTCTGCTGGCGACAAAACACTTCGAACACTTGACTCTATTTATCTGCCAGTCAGCTGCAACGTCATATAGCAGTTCAGGAAAGTATTGCACTGGAAGGGGCAAAGAGGGTGCTGGTAGAGAGGATGAATAAATGGGCTCACGTAGGGATTAACAAGGTGATAGATCAGTGTTGTCAAAGGAAGAAGCGTGGGATTCTACAAGGATGTACCTCGGGTAAGGTGAGGATTAGCAAAAGGAGAAATATGATTGAAGGGCGATCATATCAGTTTCAGGGGAAATGTAAGAAGGGAGAGAATTCAGGGAAGGGGGGGGGGGGGTTGTGACAGGTGTTATGTATATCCTGGGGAAGCGGAGGGGATAATGGGGAAGGAAGGGGAAATGATGGAGCAGGGGGAGAACGAGAGGTATTGGAAGGGAGTGGTAGGAAGAGGTGTAGGAGGGACAGGGATAAGAGGAAGGGAGCAGAGATTAGAAGATGGACGAGGTATAAGCACGTTATTTGGGGCCATAATTAATTGGAATGCCAAAGTTTCTGAAGTGGATTTGGCTGGGGAGGTCTGAAAAACAAAAGTCTTTATGGGGAGGAGGTGGGTGGGGTAGATAGGGTGAAACGTTTAGATTATCTGTAACGGGTAGAGCGAGGATGGAGAGGGGTATTTATTTGTTGAAAAATTTCTGCCCTATCAACAATTGAAGCCATTAGTGGCGTATTCAAAATGCAGCGATAGGATGGGGCTTGGGGGCAAAATCCCCAAGTATAGCGTTATGATAAAGTATTATGGAAAGTGAATGAACGTTTAGGATAACTGGGCAGCAGTGGATAGTGAAGAGAAGGAACGGGAAGGGGAAGAATTTTATTTATTGAAAATTTTCTGCCGCGTCAACATCTAAAGGTCATTAGCGGCGTATTCATAATATAGCGATAGCGTTAGGCTTGGAGGCAAAGCACCAGGTAACAAATAGCGAAAAGGGTTAGGAATGAGTTAATGATTGGGCAAGGTTACAGTTTGAACAGTACTAGAGTAGTATGGCATTGAAAAGGGTAGAGAGGGAGCTGATGGGCCAGAGCATAAGGTAAAGGTTGTTAGACAGGGGTAGAGTTAAGGGAGTAGGGAGCATTAAGATAAAGTTTTGTGGCGAAAAGGGCACGAGTTAACAATTAGTAAGTGTACAGAACATGGGATGAAGAAGAAAGGGAAAAGGAAAGAAGATGAAAAGACCATGCAAAATTACCTGAGGCGAGGGCCGAGGTCCAAGGCAGGTTAATGGCTAAAAACAAAATAAATGTGCTAGTTTCTAAGGTCATGTAGTACTATAGGAAGGTATAGTAAAGGCTAGTGAAGGGCGGGTGAGATATTGGTTAGTTGCTATACGTCCGATATCTAGATTGATATTGAAAAAGGTTAAAGCTGGGCAAAGGAGTTTGAGTGAATGGGTTAAGGTTGGGTTAGGTAAAGGGGTTAGATCAAGTGAAGCATATGCATGCACGTGAGGAAGAACAAGTTGTCAAAGCAGAACGTGAGATTCTGTAAGGATGTTCGATAAGTTGGGAGGTCGGTGAAGGGAGGATGGGTGGGGGAAACAGACGTACGTGCTGCATCAAAGCGTGGACAGGACAATGGAATGTATGGACTTGAAGACAGTCCGGTGCAAGTATTGAGGGAGGGCAGATGATGATAAAGGTTGTGAGGGGTAGAGGTGATGAAGTTGACCATGTTAGGAGAGTAGCAATGTCTCCTGGAGATTGAGTGTTGACTTGGGTGGATAATATACTAGTATGTATTAAAGAGGGGGTAGTAGTTGCAGTGTCAAATGAGAACCTGGTGTCGGAGAATCGGCATAGTTTGAACTGGTGGTGCTATTTGATAAAGGGACAAGCCTCATTGTCCCTAATAAGGGTATAACATCATTAGCCATGGTAAGCCTGGAGTTGGGGAGTGAAACAGTCCACTCCTCAGGCATCCCCTTGTGGTGTAAGGGCTAAACAACTAAACCAGGGGAATACCTTGCCCATGGCTCCCTCAGGCCGTTCAGGATTGGCACACAGTCAGCCTTTCATCCTTTCAGCACGGCTCTCACACCTTTGGAAGTAGATAGTAGAAGGGGTGGGGGAAGGGGCAGAAACGAAAAAGCAGTAGGGGAAAAGACTGCAAAATTAGTCGAGTTGAGGGCTGAGTTCCAAGGCAAGGGAATTACTGGGTCCCAGGCTTCGCCTCCTAACCCCCCCCCCCCCCACGATACCGTACACTGGGCCTTAGTCCCCGCCTCCTAAGCCTCCTACAACAACGAGTATGGGATTGTGGGGTGAGGAGGTTCAGAGATATTTGAACGGTCATGGCCATATTGGGAACATAAGAGCACTGCGGGCTGTGGAGCTCGTGTTGGGAGGAAGGGCCAAAATGCTAACATTTCACATTGACGGGGAAAGGGTCGATGTGGTCGGATAGGGCAGGACTTCATCGGGGAGGTTATGTCTACGCAGGGTAATCTTTGCAATATCAGTGAAGAACTTACAGGGGGGCTTTGTATTGCTGCTGCTGTATCAAAGTCAACGCGGCAGGCGAACGAGAGGTTTTCAATCTGGCCGATCCTTGTAAATAGGGCAATCGGCCGGGAGGTGGAAAACTGAGGAATGAGCCCGGGGACTCCTGCAACTATTACAAGGCATGAACTATCTGAAGGTATGCGAAAGAACACTTTGCCTTGCTTGTTTTTGGAGACTAGTGAAAGAGGTGGGTATTGCTGAGTAAGAGGTTATAGGCGATTAACCAAGGGAATAACCTGACCACGTCCCGGACTGACAAAGCCAGCTCTTCGTCCTTTCAACAAGACACTCACACCTTAGGAAGCGGACAAAAGGGATTAAAGAAGAAAAGGGGGAGAAGACGACCATATAGAATTAGATGTTGCCGCGTCAAAATAGGCCTCCCCACTAAGGTCATTAACGGTTTATATAATACACAGACAGGGGTGGGATTTGGGAGCAAAGCCCCTAGGTAAAGTTTTTTGGTTCAGTAAGGCAATGTTTATAGGTTTCCAGAATGGACAAAGGTCAAAAACTGACATGTACCAGGTAACACTGCATTACGAGTTTTGAGTTAATTAGCAAATGGACAGAACAAGGGGATGAAAAAAAAAAGACCCCCCCCCCCCCACGATCTGAATGGATATGGGATGGGATGGGATGGAATGGAATGGAATGGAATGGGAGGGGGGGGGGGGGGTCGACATAATTGGGAAGGAACTAAATCAAGTTATAAAAATACAGTTTTATTTTCCTTGACAATTACCGAAAGCATAACTGGGATATATGAAGCAAATTACACTTTCAAATTCCATTAACGTAAATAGTTTCATAAAACTCAATTTTGCACATTTTTTCAGGTTACAGGAAATAATCGGCCAGTATACAGCCAAGGCCAAGGGGTAATTCGAGACGAGTTTGCTTTAAGTAAAAGGATCTGAATAAGCATCACGCAATTGATCAAAATGCTGATGCTTGACTGTACTGCATGGTTAGACTGATCATGCACTAGTTTGGGGTCAACACCATTAGCTGATTACTTCATGGCAAGAATCATCTCGAAAGGTATTCTGCTTGAGGCACAATTTTCTGGATACTTTCTGTATTCACTTTTGTGCTATTAACAGTTTGTATACTTAAAAATTTTAATGTGATATGGAAGCATTCCATAAATTTCTTTTAAGTTACAAACTCAATTTCATTCTTAAAGTCAATTCAATTATTTTCTATCCAGTTTTGTACTATGTTATGTACATAATTTCTACTCTAGTTACGAAAACTTCAGCAATGGTTGATGAAACCGTTTTATGTACTTATCAAATATTTCATGCTACACTAATCAGAATTTTTAAACTGAACTTAATGATATCAACAATGAAATAAAGTAAAGCTGGTGAAAATTTTACCAACACTTTAAACAATGAAACCACACCAATAAATTTCAACTTTGGCCCTATACACACAAAGGAATGCCCGCACAGGGACAAGGGTATTGGCATATCAGAAGCGAGAGAGTAACCTCACTCTTTTACCATGGAAAGACCCGTTACAGGGAACAGGCATGGCTATTTCAAGAGCCTGCCCATACTTTGATGTCTATGCCCATGTGTTAACGGTCCCTCGTGTGGAAAGGGCCGAAGCTTATAGTACATGCCCTCTCTACACAAGCTAGAGGATAGGTATTTATAGTTCTACTCCCAAGTGTTTGCTTGATAATCCTTCAAGTTTATTTAACTGAAATAAACTAAGAATACTTTAATGTTTTTATTTATTACTAGACTAGAGAAAATTACTATCTTTGAAATATTATGCCACCAAAAAAAAAATAGGAATAATAAAAGTCTTGTAAATAAAAATAAAAATTATTTCTTTAACTGACAGTAAGTTAACAAAGTTTTTCTTCCTCTTGGAAAATGGAATGATTGAACATTTTTTTTTTTTTTTTTTTTTTTACTTTCGTAAAAGCAAGTAAGCACCCATCAGTGAAAGACTAGAATTCTGCCTGCGAGAGTAGAGAGAAGGCTGGTCAATAGCAAGACTTCTCTTACAACCGCAGCACACTGTTGAGATGGGTACTCACTACCTATCCAGGCAGCCAATGTTGCTGGAACATTCTGCCCTGCTACTATTACTGGGAGGTCACCTTTCAAGTTAACCAAATGCTTAATCTAGACGGAAAAATTATTACAGGCATACTAGTCTTGCATTCAGATCCTTTCAAAGTTAAATCACACATTCAATATCAAACACTTTTATACTTTAACCGAGTATAAATCATAGACTTATTCATTAAAGACTAATACTTTACATCTTACACAAGCATGAGTAACATTCAGCATATAAATTTTGAAAGACTTCAAAATTTCAGTCTGGGTCAAATCAGGCTGGTAGCATATTTGTTGCTAGAGCCATATTCCAAGTTACAGGACCCTTGATTACTATATGAGATAAACCCTCTTTAATTCGCAGAAAATGTCGCTTAAAGTCCAATCCACATCCTTTCGAAAGTCTGAAATCCACAAGAATATGCTGGCCCATATCCAGTATGCTTGCTTTCAGCACAAGTTGAGCTCCACGTCGATCCAGAGTGGTTACAGTGAGCTGAAAAAGGGAAAAGGCTTCTTAGAATATATGAATACATCATAAAAATATATCACCTAGAGAATTTACCCCAAAGACTATTCCATAATTGTGAAAAACCACCAATACTTACAACATTGACATTGTGCATACGATAAGTGTAGTTCATCTTGTTGAACAATGCTTCCAGGTGAGTTAGGGTGTCCTCCAGGTTGGTCCTTACAAGCAGGCGAGTCATGCGTTTCACAAGCCTCTGCAATGGTGTCTGACTTGCTTGTGTGCTTTGAGTAAGTTGAGAGGAAAGCAACAGCTGGTCAGGTTGGGCTGGCTGCGAGAAGCTCACAACCCCCATGTCTACATTAGGACCATCATTCTGAAATGAAGGGTTTACCATAATATAATCCAGGCAAGTACATTCCAATTACTAAAATCTACTGGTAAAACTACTAATCACATTTCCTTACAGCCAAGAGGCACATGTCAAGGAAAGGTTTTGCTTTCCCCATATTAAATCCTAAAACCCTATACCTCAATATTTCCACTTAGATACCTTATACCCCTTAACCAACGGAAATTTAGCCATTATCAAATGGTCTTATTCTCTTTTCTATTTCCTCTTCCATTATTCATCATTATCAATGGAGTAATAATTGTAAAGTTAAATAATTTGGGGAAAAAATCTAACATCATCCTCATAATCCTAAACATAAAATTTATCACATGAAGAAAATGTAATCATCCAAAAAGTAATGGTACTCACGACATTATTAATTGAAGCAGATGTAGGGGCCTCTGGCTGCGAACATGCTAACCGTGCTGACATGTCTTCCAAACAAAACGAGGAGTTTTCCCGTTCAAGCTCACTGCACACGCGCTTGGTAGTAGGGGTCATGCTGTCATTCGATGCATTGCGTCCGAAACCTGGAAAAAAATAAATCTTTACATTTTGGCCACTATTAAGGAACACTTTGTAAACAGCAAACATTTGCAACAATATTATAATGCTGCGATGCTTAGGGGAGCAGTAATGTCCCATGGTGTTCCAGCTATATGATATTTAAACCCTCATACAGCTAGATCACCAAAGACACCACCATTCCCAGTCTCTTGCTTTCCTCGCTCCAAAAATATCAGATGCACATTTTCGGAAAATTTATGCCAGCACTAAGATACTGCAACTGAACTACTTGCGGCTTCGACGACCAAGCCCACCTCCATGCTTTGGTAATCTAGCTTTATGGACTCTTTACTACCATCATAATGCTAAACCACCAAAGCAAAGTAGCAGACAAACCAATTCCAGCTCTGCATACACCTTAGCCAGTTGTGAACATAAGGGCCTTTACAGTACATCAGCAATCCTAAGTCTACGTAGGTCAATCATACACGATACTTCAACATTGGGTACAAAGCTTGTGTCAGCTGGAGGAAGAGATAACAGATACTTGGAAACTCTGCATGGCAATGGTCTGCAGAGTCACATAGTACCTGACACCTCAACCTTCAATTCTCGATTATATGCGTACTTTCATAATCAGCAGGTTGCATGGAGTATCAACTTCTACACGAAACTGGATGCTGCAACCCTTTTCACAGGAGTGTGGAGAATGCAGTTGCATCAATTTTTCCATTCATGTCACCTTAGCTGGCATTTCAAAAGCCATACACTGGAAAAATTTGTATTCATTCTAATCCCTTACTATATGAATAAGAAGCAAACTGTGCAACTGCCACCCATCTGGACCTTACTAATAACTTGCTAAGCAGGAACACATGTAACCTGCAAACCTTGAATACTATACAAGACTACCTCCCTTAGAATATACTTGTCTAGCCTTTTTAGATATGAAAGCTAGAACTTGTCCTTACCTGAAGATTTGTGGTAGTTCTTTGTGAACCACTGATGTGCTTTCACCTGAGGTACTGTTGCTCGATGCCTAGGTACAGTGTTCAATACCTGAAAAAAGAAAGTTTTTTTTATAAGTGATTATAGTAAGGAACAAGTACAAGTGTCAAAGTTGAAAATGAAGCACCAGGTCTATGCCCTGCCAGAGACTGCTGAATCATGGAAAATAAAAGTTTTGCACTAGTTGCACAAGTGACAATTCAGAAAGGAAACGTACTTCCATGCCATTCAATGCTATTTGCAAATCCTTGTTCATTTTTAATCATATTGAAATGAACCATATTTCCTGCAACAATGTAGAAAAGGTTTGAGTATGAATAAATACGCAATACAAGAGATGTATTGTGTAGTTTCACTCAGGGATTTCTGTTCACCCAGCAATGATGGGTTAAAAAAGGTCACTTGAAACTAAGAAATCTGATTAAGAAATTACCTTGCGCAAAAGAGAGAGGGCGAGATTGTCCACCTTTGTCCAAGGTGTGGTTGTGAACAATCTACAATCTCGGTCTTTCCAAGCCGTGTATTCTGGACAGGAAAAGGTTGGTTCATCCCATGGCAATTCTGTAGGGATGGAAAAATCTTGAATTAGATACTTCCTTCATAGACAATGTGGTAGCATATTCAAGTAATAGATTAACCTGAATTAATAATCCTAAAACATAAGCAATCATGTTCCCATTGCCAGTAAAATACTTTACACTAAAAGAGTATTTATTACTGTCAACAGGAATTTCTATGCGGGAGTGCTAGTGAAATGTAGCAATATTGCAGCCACCTTTCAAACCTTACTCCCAAAGCTTAAATATTTTATAGAATTGCAGGATTTAACTTGGCACTCGACAGACCAGTAACTTGGGCCATGTGGTTATTAATGCCACAGTAAGGGCAAATATGCTCTTGTCAGGTTGGTGGAATTTTAAATCTTACTTTTATATCTCGCATTCAAGGCAGTCAACCTTTCACAATTGTGAATCTTAACCTCAAAATTCAATCTTTGCCTAAAAGTAAATTTTTGATTTTCCAGACTGTTCTTATCTATGGCAACTTCTAAGGCATTTGTGAAATTTTATACTAATATTTTACAGGAAAAAGTAACTTCTTCTGTATGAAGTAATTTTCAAATGCTTATTTAACCATTCCATTCAGTTGTTACCCATGTATGGATGATTGCATTATAGTCCAGACCACAGCTGTCAAAGAAGTGGCTGACACCACTATTATTGGGATCTGCAAGTGGAGCCATTGCCTTATAAACCTTAATACGTTCAATATCAAGTGAATAAAATAAGAATTTATGTAAACAAGGACTTCAAACTATCCTTGCACGACATTCATTACCCTCTACCTCATACAGATTTCCCTTCTTCCCTTTTACCATATGCTCTCTCTCATGGTGTTCAACGATGAAGGTGCTTCACACTATACTTACGGCTTTTGGCGCAAGGCGAATCGAGTTTCAGCCCTGACTTTGGTAATCTAGCTTTATGACGTCTTTCATCTCTCACACAGCTAGATCACCAAAGACGAGGCAGAAGCGGGTTCTCACGCAGTCCTGGTCGTTTTTCAGAGCCTTTTTTTCGGTGCTAATTTATTAATTTTTTTTTTTTTCAGTGAAGAATATTGAAGATGGAAGTAGCCGAGCCTATGATATAGATATGCATTTACCCATTCCGAAGTAAGTCCTCTTCCTTCAGTAATATTTTACTTTTGATAAAAGCAGGTCAGGTTAAATAGCTCTGATTAGTAATTACATTTTAACAAAGGCACTTACCACCAGCTAGCAGTGCAACAAGAATCACTCCACAAGACCAAATATCTGCAGGTTCAGCATTATAGGGTCTCAGCAATACTTCAGGTGCCATGTATGGTTTTGTTCCACAACGACGATCCAATTCACGTTCCTAAAAATGAAACGAAGTTGATAAAGCCTCTTTCATTGACATGCTTCACAATCCAAAATAATTTCATGTACTGTAAAAGATAAGGCAAAATATCTTGTAATAAAGTTTACCTTGCCATTGTGTCTGAAGAGAGTGGCCATTCCAAAGTCTGTTATTTTAAGATGGTCATTCTCGTCAAGCAGCAAGTTCTCTGGCTTGAGATCCCGGTGTGTAACACCCCGTCCATGGAGGTATTCCTGCCACGATAAAGGAAACTTTACTAAAGCCCTTCAAGGAGCAAGCTACAATGGAAAAAAAAAAAAAAAAAAAAACAGCACAAATACCCTGTTCTTCCAAACGTCTTCTTTTGCACAGGTAAGGTGCCTTGGTACACCTGGCGCATGAATCTCTCTTACATGCATCCTGGTAATACCAAAGACCCTGCCTTGCATGCACCAACAGCCTTTGTTCATCCTCAGCAAGAGGACAATATACATTATCTGTACAATGTAACAAAAAAAAATTACAGGGATATTTCACTTTCATTCAAAATTACATCATCTAATGATCAAAATTTTAAATACATCTGGTGGGTGTTAATTCTGAGAGATGTTAGTGTCGATGACAGAAGAAATAATGGAGCTCGGAGCAAGAAAAAAATTATTACCGACAGCCTTTAACACAATGGCGCCGGGTGTTAAAAAAAAAAAAAAAAAAAAAAAAAAAAAAAAAAAAAACTACGCTTAAGCAAACAAAGGCGGCGCGCGTGAGAAGGGGACATCAGCCCGAATCACTGGCTCGCCGCGCTTTGGTGCGCCGCCGGCTCGTTTGGCTGCACGCCAGCTTTCGAGCACTTTGTTTACACGCCAATCGGCGTCACCCGGCACCAAGGGTTAATGTAATGAACACTGACATCTGTACAGTTAAAGGGGAAATTTGTTCCATCTGTGTAGCTAAAAACTGAAGTTCTAATTCTCCAACATGACAATGCCATTGCTGAACTAATTTGGGGTAAAAACCATGAATCAGATTCACTTACCACACCACTGATCAATTCCCTGAAGTACTTCTGTGCCTGGTGGGGAGGCATGCCCGTGTCAGGCTCAATGCGGTCAAACAGTTCACCACCTGCAGCGTATTCCAGGAACATGTACTGCATTGAATTTTCACGGCGACTTCCTGCGGGATAAGCAATGTATCAGCATTTAAACCAAGCACATGTGTATTATGCTGCAAAACCAATCACCCTAAAAAAATTACCCAATTATACAGTCCCTAGATTTGACCAGTGCCTTCAACATCAAAAGTGAACAAAATATTTTAGGATATCAAGCCCTAACATAATAAATGGTAATTAATGACAAAACTACAGGTACTACTATAGCCTATTCCAGTAAATTCATACTACTTGGAAGATGTTCCCTTTAATTCTACCCACAACTACCGTGTAATTAACTTGGTCAACAAGTATTATCTACACTTGCAGTATCAAGTAAATTCATTAGCCATATGTGTCAAAATTCCAGCTGCTACATAGCTTTCTCCAAATGAAAGCTCTGGTAAATTATGGACTTCATTTTTTTTTTTTTTTTAATATACTGATATCAAATTTCTTTATTCTAATACACTTCTATAAACCCACTGCACATGAATTGACTTACCATAAAATTTAATGATGTTTGCATGTTTCAACATGCGGTGCAGACATATTTCCTTGCGCACAGCATCTGCCGCATCTGGATGTTTGACCAAGTCCACCATCTTCATGGCAACTGCCTCCCCAGTGTCCTTATTGATTAGTAATTTTACTCTGCAATAATGAAAAGAACATAAGGAGGAGTCCCTAAAATGATATCCAATTCATTCACAAAGACTCGTGCAATACAAACCAACATGAAACAGGAACTCACTCTCCAAAGGCCCCCTCTCCCAGGGTCTGGACTACGTTCCACCCCACCACAAATTCGGTGACCGGCCCAGCCATGGTGGTGCTGGGCTTTTCTGACACTTTCTAGCCAACATAACCTGAAATGCAGAAATCTGTAAGTACAAGTCATTTAACAACATGGAATCAAACGTTTCATTCAAGGTACCAATATGCATAGCTGTAAAATTTTATAAGGGAGTTTCTTGCGCGACCCCCCCCCTCTTAGAGCCGGAATTCCTCTATTGATATACGGATTGCTTATTTTGCAGGTCTACAATGCCTTAGCATTTTTTCTGCTAGTAACCAAAGATTTTGCTGCTCTAACCTCACTCAATTTCCACTTGATCAAAGTTTTCAGTTAATGTGATATACCTTCCTTTGTCCAAAAAGTATCATGGAAAATCTTTAATTTATCTTTTTGGGCTATGTATCACGAAAAAGCTCATCTCATGGCACTTCTTTCAAGACAAAAACTTGCTTCAAGAGACTGAGCGTTTCCGAGTCAGACAAATTTAAAATAAATCATTCCATCTAACGCAGAAGCTAACATGTCCCCATTTCCAGTAAATACTTTCCACTATAAAGTATTTACAACTGTCAAACAGGATTTTCTCTATGGGAGTGCTAGTGAAAGGTAGCAAATATTCCAGCCACCCTTCAAAACTTACCCCAATGATCACAATGCCTCTAACCTAACTTGTGATATAATTTATTAAGTCTCCTAATGGCAAATTTGTCTACTCTCATGGCATGTCCACATGAACATGCATGATTGATGTCTCAGGCAAAAACAATTGCTAACATGAAATTTGCCTGCCTGTGAGGTCCTTTCTACTCTTGCCTGCCAATCATGCCACCTCATGTGGCCAGACCTTTGACCTTGGCCTAAGATGCCTTAGCCATTCCCTCTATGCATCTCAAATAGCAAGAAAATGGGATGTGCTATCTGTACAAAGTAGCTATCCTTGTTGGGAACAACTAACAATTCCAGGTCCAACTACAATTCCTAAAAAGGTAATTATAATAAAAAATGGTTTACATATATTTTTGCATCCAGAGCAACTATGGTTATTCACAGTTTAACAATACATTTTTCAAAAGCATGAGAAGGTCTGAAAACTTCAGACAAAATCATTACCTAAAATACAAGATGCACTTAATGCATATGTGAGGGGGGGGGGGGTAGATTCATTGCACAGGAACAAAAGGTTTTGCCATGACTATGGTGACCAACTTTGGTCACTGAATGCTATCATCAGTGGGTTACAGGCTTATTTTACACCATAATATGCAGTTACACATCAGTTATATTAAGAAATGCCCCAACAGTCCACTTGTCATTCAAATTTGCCCAAAAGAAAATAAGCAAATTCACACAAGATTCTTTTATAAAGTAGTAATGCTGTAATAGTAAAGGATAAGGTAATTGGGCTGGAAGAACTCTCACTACCAGAATTACCTTTTATGTCACCAGCCATGTACTTGTTTAACAAGCTATTAATACTACTAGCTAAGGCTAGCACTACTTGTGCTTTATGCTGTATGGTTGGACAAGGCCACCATGAACATTACTGGATTTGAGAAATGGTTTAAGTAGAAAATTGACCACACTAGGGAAATCTGACCAAATCATTCTATTATATGAAAAGAACTGCTGCTTCCTCCTCTTGGTCACTACAGCCTGCTAACTCCCAAGATAATATTGCCTGTAGCGCACATGGCATTCCACAAGGTGCACAACATCTGTTCAGCAAAAGTAGAAGCATTGCTGTTATGTCAGTGATCAAACAGACAAGGCATAAATCTGGCTTGAAGAGGACTAAATGAGGAATGGGGTAAGGGGATGGCATGTGGCTTCATCACTGAAGACTAAGTTATGAAAAAATGTCAAGGCATAGGGGAAAACAGCTCTGTTCTCCTGGGTTAATGCTATGTCAATAACTTACTATGTAATACACTACTTTTGATTCACCATTCTGTTATCCCACTTTATACATTACCTCAATTTACAACTATAATATTACTACCCAAGTCAACTAGCAACTTAATACATTTAAGTAAACATTCATTGAAAATTAGGGATCTCCATACCATGTGACACACGTGCATTATAGATCAAAGAAACTGGCAACCCCATTGTCTTTATGAAGCACAATGCACAATATCCTACAACTAGGCAATCAAATCTGCATGGAAATGGTATGTTCCTTTGATACCTAGAGAATTTGAAGTTTCAATTGTGCTTCAGCTCTTAACCCCTTGCCGCCGGGTGACGGCGATACGCGTGTAAACAAATCGCTTGAAAGGTGGCGTACGGCCAAACCAGCCGGCGGCGCGCCAAAGCGCGGCGAGCCAGTGATTCGGGCTGACGCCCCGTACTCCGGCGCTCAAAGTCGGCGCGCTGCCTTTGTTTGCCAGAGCGTAGAGTTTTATTTTCCTTTTGTACACCCGGCGTCATTGGGTTAAAAAATTGTTGCCAAGTTTCGTCACTGTATGAAGGGGATTATAGTAAGCCAATAAATCTGGTACAATAATGGCACTTGTACCGATACGAAGATACAAGAAAAAAAAAAAAAAAAAAAAAAAAAAAAAAAAAAGGTAGCAGCTTTCAACAGTGCCCATCTTTAAGAATTTAGGCACTACAGCATACTAAAATATGGTTTTCACAATTTTAACTCCTCCATATTACAGAACATTGTAAGGCAAATATTTAACCCATTCGCGCCGGGTGTCACGTATACGTGACGGGCCCACTGAGTTTACTTGTTTGATGGTTTTTACACATAGATGGCTACACTTGTACTTGTACTGCCTGTCTCGCCCGTTTACCTGTTTCTATATTTTACGAAATTATTTTACGTTATCTTATTTTTTGTTACTAATGTTCATAATATTATAGTAATTATAATGTTTAGAATAAAAATGACCATCGATATTCATAGCACTAGTAAAAAATACATTTTCCCGCCAAATGAAATCAGGTAAGGCAGAGCCATCTAGTGTAAAGAAATTTCACAAAAGGTATAAAAAATGAGCTCAACATTTTCCCCATTTCTTGTTCATTTTTACCCGGCGTGAATGGGTTAATTACTTATCCTTCAGCAAAGATCAGGAGGTTTGTGATGCAAGGCCATCCTTTCACCATTCCTACTCCCTATGCATCTTCTCTACTCTCAGTTTATTGACAACTGACACACTGCTCACACTACCCCTTCGCGGCGGAGCGACAAAGTGCGGCGAACCAGTGATTCGGCCTGATGTACTGAACTCACGTGCTCAAAGTCGGCACGCTGCCATATTTCGCCAGAGCGCTTTTTCCCCCCCCCCCCTCTTCTTCACCCGTCACCATTGGGTTAAGGAGGATGGTGACATCACCCTTTTGCATGTACAACTACTGTGGAATGGTTAGCTGCCACCACATATCAGCTTAAACCCTACAATCCAGAGGACCTGACCCTCGTGAAAAAATTTGGCTGGAGGGTCAGGTGACGAACATGCCATAGTGAATGTTTCAGCTTAAGGTTTGGGTAACAGGAAGACTCGCCACAAGTGTACAAATCTCTTGGGAGGGTGATTAGCCTTAGCAGGCATTTCAGAAGGGGCATTTGCATTATTTTCATCAATAAGCAAGTATGAAATGTACTGTCTATGAACCATGACTGAAAGAGTCCCAGCTCCTGGGAGGATGCTATTTCCATGCCCAGGACCCATGACCAGTGGCATATGGCAGTAAAGCATCCAGATACAAAGGGTTAAGAGTTTCATGGCAAGCATAGATGCCACCTACGGTCAGCGGGCAAAGAAGACTGTTCCATGAAGTTACACCCTAGATATTTCCTTCAACAGTTTGAATTAAATAAGAAACATCCAAAAAAAAATTTCCTACTTCCATATAAATTTAAACTTTCCTCCAAAAAAAATTGAAGTCTTTTTCACTTTCTATACTTAGTGGACTAGTGGACTTTCAATTTCACTATGAAATATATATAAAAAAAATTATGAGGTTTAAATATATTACACACGTACCTGTATTTTACTTTGATCTCCCTTATCAATCAAATGAAATACATAACATTAATCCATGGAATTTCAAAAATAAAATTAGTCCCTCATTGACACTGAACACTTATGATTTCTACATGTATAGCGAGATCATCATCCCCCGGCAGTGGAACCCAGGTCACTATGAATACAAACCAGGAAACTATCCAGCAGCATTGGGTTAAGATGTGGACAACTAACTTTGAGCAAGAAAATAGCCTCTTAAGTCACCATGTACCTTTATCAATTTGCACTATTATCTCCCACTTAAACTGTCCATATCCATCTATTCCTTATTTGGCAATTTTCACCACAGAGGCTAATAGCCTTATTATCAACACTGCAAGGATCCCTAATATCTACCCTCATGTGCCAACCTTACAGAAGTAACCCTAATCTTTCCAAAACAAAAACTGCAGACCTTTTCCTGATCAGATGGCAATCCTGGCAGAACCAAAAATTACTTTTTTTTTCTGGATACAAACTTAAATATCACTTATTGTGTATTAGGAGAATGGAGTTCTGGTACAAATATGGAGAAAATGACAAACCGATATAAAGTCATCCAAGATCACAAGATCGGGCCCAAAACTTTCATACGTTCATACATTTATCATTTATTCAATATTTGGCACTTTTTTTTCACTGTATATAACTTTAAAGCCATATAGCTTTGACTGTTTCCTGCAGCTTTGTATTTATTTTCTAGCACTGAGCCATTACAAATTATATAATTTTTAGAGAAAGTGTTATGTAATAATTAGAAGAGGGCTAATGTAAGGTTACCCTTCTTTCCTTTGTGTTCTAATACTCGCACTGTACAAAGGGTTTTGGCCAAGGGACAGGGAAAGTAGTTCTGGAATACCAGAGTCAAGAAGTGTCCCTACACACTGAAAAGGGTCCCTTACTTTTAAATGTGGCCATAAATCTCCATTTCTCGAGTTAACAACCATGGGGTAATACCTAGGAATTTACAACCCTGAACAAAAACCAGCCCAACCCCCATTTCACTGCCATGGCCAGACTCTGCATGACCTTTGTTCCAACCTATATTAATTTTCTATATTCTTTGCTTGCCAGGATTATTTCATGCATCAGCATCAAGTAATCATGACATTTTCTTTAACTTAAGGTCATTATGGGTTACTGTTACCAAGAGCAAAACACAGATAGAGGAAAGTGGAGACTGCCATCTTATAGAGCATAAAATATTCAAACAAAGGTACAGCTGATGCAGCATCATTTAGTGCAAAATGAAAATATCCACTGCATATCATTGCTCAGAGCCAAGTTCACAACACCCTCACATAGCTAGAGTTCTTAACTATCACTGGGAAAAACAAGACTAACCATCATTTTCTGCATATCCAACATTAAATAGATCTCACTTTACCACTTAATGTTGCCTAACAGTTCTTGGCCACTCCTGCCCCCAATGATCAAATCGGCTGGAACAGATATTGCATACTAATCCAAGTACTTGTTGCCTTTTCACACTCTGTGGCCTTTTACATTTCCAGTCTTGCTTTCCTTATCTACTTTGCTTTAATTAATTCCCATTAAACTCATCTGCCATCACAAGTGCAAGATATCAGCACTTTCAAAGTTATTTTAATAATTATTTTAAAAAAGTCTTATTTCAACACATACCTGTTGCTACTGTGTTAAATTGGCAAGAACTATGTACTTAGCTAAAGCCTCAAAACAAGTTTAATCCGTGTAATTTATATTTTTAGAAATATGAGAAAATGAACAATAAAATTCAAGGCAAGTTATGTTACCAGGAGCAACACAGAGGTAAATGGACACTGCCATCTTAGAGAGCATGAGAAATAAGAGAAACTCGAGCACAGCTTCTGCGGCCACATGTCATTTTGTGGTAAATATCTGCTGCATATCACTAATCAGAAACTAAGTCTACAAGACCCAACACAAAGTTCTCAATGTTCATTTTCTATAAGTTGTCACAAAGTGCTAAGAAAGGGATTACAAGAGGCTTGCCCCCCTTCCCCCCTTTTTAGGGAATAAACAGTAGGTAGTAAAGGTTAGGTCTGGATTTTGGGTTCACATGAAATCCTGGATTTACGACGTTCTAGAATGCATTACTCTCGGTAACAAATACAAATTGGTATAAAATGACAAAACTACTAACATACTGGTAAAGTTTACAAAACTGCCTTTAAGATTCTCTAACTCACTAATGAATACATGAACCCATCCAAAGCTCTGAACCACAATGGCTGCTGTACAAACCAAAAACCTTCCTATCAACAAGGTTTTGCCACAAGCCACTGCCGCAATTTCTATACCAATGCAATCAAGTGACAAATTTATCTTATCATGATATTTAAATGCTTCCTATAGACATGTGCGCATTTTCATTTATTACTTTCATGCAGTTAATTATACTAAATGCATCGAGTATAATATTCAAATAAGCAGCATGCACTGACTTCCCATACTTAATTAAAGAAAAGCTTGTGCAAGTCGAGGAAATACCATATCCAAGTCTAAGAGGTCTCGCAGATACACAATCAAGGCAAGGGCCAATGAATCAACAAACAAATGCCACGCTATCGCAAATCACAGCTTGCCGCCTCCCCATGAAATTTACCACAAAACTACTACCTACATACAGAAGGAAAAAATTTGCTGCCTCTGTAAAGGAATGCTGGGCAGGTGTTGCGGCAATCCATGTAGTCCTGCTTCGCAAATAGTTAAAACTAATGAAGGAATTTGACTAGCTTAATTTTCCTATAAACAAGTAGTCTCCATAAATATTCCAACGACAATGGAACCCAAACAAAACCTACTCCACATGGGAATCACTTCATAAGCCTACATGCAACCACATGGCACATACCAGCTCCCTACCATAAACAAACCACATGGCCTGCTCCACTAGGCCTACTTAGAGCCACAGGATACATTCAGCAGGCTTACAAATAAATCCCTGCTTCTCATAGGCCTACCATACACCCGCATGGGCACCTCCAATCTCACCAAGGCAGCGAATGTCCTTTTGCACAGGCCTACCACCACCACCACATGGGATTCCTTCAGGAAGTTTACACGTACAACACACGGGATGCCCTCTACCCTCTAGCCCCCACACGAACCGCCACCAGGCCACAACATGTTGCCATGAGCCCGAGATCTACCGCTCGGCGCCCCAGCCCTTTCCACCCGCCGGGAGACGCGTCCCGGCCTCCTACCCGAGCATGACCTCGAGGCCCAGAATCCTGCGCCTCAAGCAGCACTTACAAGGCCTTCAAGTCCCGATTCCCACGCCTTCAGGAAGCTTTTGCTCCCTGGACGCCGAGCGCCAGGCAGCTCGCCGCGAGGCGCCCAGAATACCCTTCGCGGGGCAAGACACCACCACTGCGTGCCCAGAATACACCACAAACTGCTCACTTCGGCGCCGAGAACTGCACTGGAGGCCCAGCGGGGCTCCTGGGCACGTCTCGCGGCGGCAAGTGGGCAGGAGGCCGTTGGCGGCGCCGAGGCCAAGCCGCCCGCCGCAAGCCGTGCCCACGACACGTACCCAGTCCCACTCCGGCCATGCCCGCCCATGCCCGTCCCGCAGCCTCGTGCCCTCCTCTCCCACCGGGCACTGCTCTCCTGGGCACGCGGGGCGGCAGGGCGTCGAGTGCCCGGCGCGGAGGCCACGCGTGGGCGGCGGCGGGGCACGAGGGCCGGGCACGAGGGCGGCGGGCCTGGGCATGGCGGGCGCCGGTCCTCGCCGTCAGCTGTTTCTCATCACCACCTGCCCCTCCGCCGCCCATGCCCCGCACGCCCGCCCGCAGCCCCTCCTCCACGCCCACGCCCTTACCTCTCGCTTCGCCGCCCGCCCGGCTGCTGCTCGCGGCCGCGGGAGGAGCAGATGGCCAGAAATAGAGCGGAAAGGCGGACTCGGGGCCGTGCAGCCGCCGAGCACGTGGGGCGCCCTAGGCCTACCGCCCGCCCGCGAATTCGAACGCCAAAGGGGCTCCCGCGCCGCCCGCCCGCCCTCCTCACCTACAAAGGGGCGTCTGCGCTGGAGGCCGAGCTCGGGGAGCTACATCCCGGCCGCGGGGGCGTCGCCGGCAGACGGACCGAGGTGGAGCGGAGGGAAATTCCAGCGACGGAATGAAAGCCACGCTGACTGGGCCTTTCGCGCCGCCTCGGGACCCCAGCGCCCTCTGAGGCCGCCTCGCCGCCACAAGAACAGGCACGGCGCTCGCGGACCCAGCCTCGCCGCGGGATTCAGGGGCGGGGGTTGGGAGTGGGAGGGGGGGCACGG